GAGTGTTACAAAGAGATATTGTTAAAAATGATGGTAATTATATTTTGGTTTAATATAGCTCGAGACAAGACAAGATAGCTTCCCAGAAGACAATGTCGTCTATCAGAAGATCTCACAATGGGGGAATAGGCGTCATTTTTGCTCTCGCTCTTTTGAATGGGCTTCCTTAGATCTTCCCCTTCTATTCTCTATCACATCTTACATTTCTTACCTTTACATTTGAAAGAATGAGCCAACATCTTACAAGCAGACACATCTGTCTGCTGCTTCCAGCCTTTGCCAGCTGGGAGCAGAAAATCCAAAGAGTTCTGGGATTCACCATGCCCCCTGTGACTTCACTGACCTCCCATTTGGTGGATGCCGCTCTGCCTGCTACTTTAGACCCGGCTTTAGAAGTTATCACATGGCTTAAAAATAATTGGTTGACATTGTCTCCTGCTAAATTTATATCCTTTTGAAATGTGGGGAGAGAGAGAGAGAGAGAGAATTTCTAGGTTCACTCCTTTCATCCTGGAAGTTTAGTCCTATGCCCGGGTCAGCATAGACTCAAGGGCAGCCTTTAATAAGCACCAAGAAACTTCTACAGGAAGCCTTTCCCAAGCCCTCTTAATTCTAGTGTTTTCTACCCTATTATTTCCTATTTATCTTATATATAGCTTGCTTATACATAGCTGTTTGTATGTTGTCTTCTCCATTAAATTGTGATTTTTTTTCAAGGGCAGGAACTGTCTTTTGTCTTTTTTTGTATCCCCAGCATTTAGCACTGTGCCTGGCACATAGTAGGTGCTTAATAAATGTTTACTGACCACTTATTGTCTTGGGTAATCATAGTTCCAGACCCAAGACCCTGCTCTTGAGTAATCTTAGAAAGATTACCATTGATGTGACACAAACATTTTATAGAGTTGTGGGATTTCTGGGTGATCTCATCCTTTAACCTCAAAAGCCATCAACTCATTCTCAACTCCAGGTTGAGCCCCCAAGCTAAGCCTTAATTTATGCTTTGGCCTATCAGACCAAGCTGCCTTGCTAAGGGTCAGATGGTCTCCAGATCACTTGTCTAGGACGTGAGGGACTGAAGTATGAAGGCAGCAGGTAAACTTGGGTTCAAATCCTGCCTAGTCATGTCATCCTGAATGTCATCTAAGTGAATGCCTCAGTTTCTTCTCATCTTTAAAATCAAAAGGTTAAACTAGGTGGCTTTCAAGGTTTAGGGTCTAAATCTAGAATTTACAAGTTTTTCAAGACCTTTAGGTTCTGAATCTATGACCCTGTGTCAGAACCATTTGACCCCAAACGTTACAAAGTTTGAGAGCCCCAGATGCTACACACAAAGATAACTAATTATGATACTCAGTGACATATGAGAGACAACGTATTATAGTGGACGGAGAGGGGCTGGGGGTGGAGTCAGCAAACCCCTAAGCTTGAATCTTGCATTTCACATCAGCTGTGTGACCACAGGCAAGTCACTTAAAGTCCTGTGCCTCAGTTTCCCCACCTGTAAAATGGGGATAATAATATCTGTAGCTTTTGCCTCACAAGGCTGTTACGAGAATCAAATGATACCATGGATACAAAGAGCTTTGCAACATTGAAAGCATCATTTAAGTGTCGGTGGTGATGAACATTACAAGGTCAGGCCGTCCTTGGCCTGGTGGGCCAGGTAGACTGATCCAGGCACAAGAAAGTCATGGAGTAGGGTCGAGACACTTTCTCCCAAGGCCCCAGGAAGTGTCCTGGGGCAGAGCCAGGGCTGAAGGGTCAATGGTGCTATCTCAAGCACTTCCCAGGAGTGACTGCTCTATCAGGTAGCCAGAGGCTGCTGCCGCTTCATCTGGACAGCTCAGACTTCAGACCAGCTTCAGACAGCCTTGTAGTTAGCTTGGATTTAAAGAGCCCTCATTGGATCTCCTAGGACGCCTCCTCCCTGGTCCATACCTTTTGCCAAGCACCCACAACCTCCTACAGCAGGCAGCTAGATGTCATGGTCCTCTTTGAGAACAAAGGACGAACACAACAACAAGGCCTGGTGTTAGGAAGACCTCAGTTCAAATCTGGCCTCAGACACTTATTAGCTGGCTTCTTTGCCTCAGTTTCTTCATCTATAAAATGGGTATAATAATAGCAACCTACCTTCCAGGGTTGTGGTGAGGATAAAATGAGGTAACATTTGTAACATGCTTAGCACAGTGCCTGATACATAGTAGGTGCTTAATAAATACTTATTTCCTTCCTTCTTACATAAGGACTTTACTGATCCCTCCAGCTGCTAGTGCCTTCTCTCTAGACTGTCTTGTATTTTTTGCATATATTTTGTGTGTCTGTGTGTGTATACACATACACACATATCTGCACATATATGCTGACTATGTTGTCAGAGCAGAGAGTCCTAACTTAGAGGTCTGTAAACTTTTCTTTAAAAAAAAAAATCATTTCAATCTAATTTATTGGCAGCTAGATGGCGTAGCAGATAGAATGCCTGACCTGGAATCAGGAAGATGTGAGTTCAAATCTGCCCTCAGATACTTAGTAGCTGTGTGATCCTGAGCAAGTCACTTAACCTCTGTATTCTTCAGTTTTCTCATCTGTAAAATGGGGATAATAATAGCACCCACCTCTCAGAATTATGGTGAGGGTCAAATGAGATAATATTTGTAAAGTACTTTCAGACGTTAAAATGTTGCATAAATATTAATTATAAATTGATTTCTTTTTCCATCATCATCATCATAATACAGCTAACATTTACATGGTTTACTATGTGCCATACATTCTACAATTATTATCTCATGTATTTTATTTTATACACTTAAACATATTATTCTGAGAAGGGATCTATAGGCTTCGCCAGACTACCCAAGGGGTCCGTGACACAAAGCTAACTTACGAACACTTGTTTTAGAGTGTAAGTGTCTTGAGGACAGGTGCTATAGCCTCTGGGACACCTCTATCTCAAGAGGAATACTATGAGAGCTGTTGTTTCTCTTAGAAACAAGCATCGATACCTGTTATTTGCGTATCCCATTAGATCTGAAAAGTGGAAATGACTACTCTCCCATTGGGAAGAATAATTTGCTAAACAGATCTAGCCCCCAGCAAAATTGTAAAGTCAACAGACCTTGTGTTGGAAGCCACTTACCTCCTTCTTTTTGTTCTTTTGGAAGCCACTTACCTCCTTCTTTTTGTTCTATTTCCCTTTGCAGTGAACTGTTTTCACCAGAGCTCTCGGCACTCATGATACCCTAGCTTCCCAGATCACAGAAGACCCAGGTCTGATGGATGCATTTAGAGTGAAGGTGTTGGAAGCTGCTGGTGTCTAGGGTCTAGCCCTGCTCACAGGTGAAGCGAAATTTGACCAGCAGGTGGTGCTAAAGGGTCACTTAGAGTATTATAGCCAGTAATTGGAGACACAGAAAACCTGTGATAAAAGTAATGCATCTAGTAGCTTTCTAAGATGAGTCAGGGTAGACTCAGGATCGTGTACTAACCAAGGAGCATAGAGCCCCAGAGTGGGGAAAGTTAGCAGAAGTCAGCAATGGGAGTCCTACAGCTGACAGTAAGGCATGAGCCACACAGGATAGACACTAGTCAGTGAGAGTCTTTGAAAACCCCTCCAGAAGTTTTCCTGATCTGTCTGGGTCCAGTGTTGATCAACTGAGTCTGAGTTGATCCAGACTTCAAAAACTTCTTGTACATCTCCTTCAGATAGATAGAGGTCGCAAGGTCATTTTAATTCCCAAGAAGGGTGGCAGTGAGGGTCCAAGACCCTCTAGAGTCTAGATTGGGGGAGATTGAGGCATTCAATGCATTTGGGGACCCAGAACCCATGACTCCTCTCTGCTAACCATGGAACAGCCTGGAAAAGGCAGCTATGTTGATATTTGAGAAGAAAATTGTTCACCTAAATGAATGTATTTCTTATGGTGGGGTTTTAGGCATCAGTGGGGGAGATCTTGATTGCCTTTCTGGCACTCCTGAAATTAAATCCTACAACTGACTACCTATTCTACTTACCCAGAAAAATCAGAATTTAAGGGGTATCTTTCTGCATCTGGGAAAAGTTGTTTTGCTGTGAAGTTTAGGCAAAAATATGAATAGCTCTGACCCTGGGTCATCCAGTGGCTTTTTAACAGAACAGAGCAAGGAAACAGGGGAGAAGGGATAGCAGGACAGCCCAACTCAGAGTGTGAATGAAAAGCCAAAAACAGATCATCATAGACTCACAGAATGTTCTAGTTAGAAGGGACCTTAGAGTATGCCTTTCTGAGTCCTTCAGAAAACAGACTCCTTCAGGCATGGAACTCAATGTTCAAAGGGACTTTTGTGAAACTAGTTGGCCACAGAAAAGAGAAAGACTTTCTGGACCTTCTCTGCTTCCATCCCAAAGTCAACGGCTCCACGTAATGTTTAACAATTAACCCTCCAACACTTTTAAATTTAATCTGAAATAATTGACATTTTCTCCATTGCTTTCTTAAGTCTGGACAATGAACAATATCATAATTAAGACCTGAATTGTAGCATCAGCTGATCTCTGAATTGTAAAATGATCACACTGAAAATTTAACAATCTGCTCTTGCTAGCCAGTACGAGCTGGCTCCAATACACCCTTGCATGTATCCCACAAACCCCCGTACGTACGTGTGGTAAGATCTGATCCTCTAAAATCACATCTGGGACTCTACCTCCTTCCCTTACTGAATATTAGCTCAAGGTTCTAGAAGTCCTTGGGGAAAAATAGATTTCTGAGCTTGCTTCAGGTATCATTCAGAGGTCCATATATCAATTACCTGGGAAGAATACATTATTCACAAAGACTAATACACACTAAGGTTGTCATGGCACAGCCACAGGTTAAGCAAGACCTCAGTCCCAAAGAAGTGAAACTGAAGACTTTATATGTACTATAATCAGAAAATCCAAGTTCAAAATTTCCATTATTCCATTTGGAGTATGGAGAAGAATCTCCCCCCTCCCCAACATCCTTACCTCCAGAACACTCTGTCTTTGTATTTAATTTAGTCTCAACAATGGCTGAAATTTTAGAAAGAGTACAGTAAACTACAGAACTACCAGGTGGCAGAAATACTCGAGATCTACAGTATAAAAAATGTGGCAAGATTACATTGTAAATATCACAATTGCAAAATAAAGTGAAGTCATCCACAATCCTTTCTAGCCTATTAACATTCAATATCTTCAACCAAAAAGTAATAGAAGTTTAAAAAAATACCACAGAGGCCCAGGGTGGGTATCCTGTTATGTTATCTCTGGACTTAACCCACCATCCTCCTAGTCAGATAATAAGTTAGTATAAATAGTAAGCCGAGGGCCATAGCAGAACATGCGTGTATGTGGTGGAGGGGGGGCGGAAGGGCAGGGGGGTTGGAGGCTCCACCATGCTGGTCAAATGGGAGGATGGCTAGTGGGTTCCTCTTCCTCTTTTCTGCCTTTTCCCTTCTCATACAAAGCTCTCTTCCATGTTTGCACACAGAAGGAAGGAGTCCACCAGTCGAGGCTTGACAAGTTGTTGGAAGTCAGTGTCCTGGAGGCCTTCTGGGCAGACCGCTGCCAGGGTGCGTAAGGCAGCCTTACAGAAAAGAAAAGAAAAAAATTCAAGGTTGATGAGAGAGACATATGGTAGGAACCAGCTAACTGTCCATTCTGATGGGTTATTTCTTGTGATTGCCATAAGCATCCCAGATTCCTGGGTTATCTCAGCTAGAAGGGACCTTGGTTTCCATTTAATTCAATTCAACAAGTGCTTATTGTATACCTACTGTGTGCCAGACCCTGGACTAAGTACTGGGAATATAAAGGACAAAAAACAAAAAAATCCCTATTCTGAAGGAATTTATATTGCACTAGGGGAAACTACTTGTATAAAAATAAGTAAAAACAAGATACATACAAAGGAAATACAAAATTGGCAGGGCAGCTAGGTAGCGAGGTGGATAGAGTGCCAGACCTGGAGTCAGGAAGATATCTTGAATTGAAATCTGGCCTCAAACACTTACTAGATGTGTGACCTTGGGCAAGTCACTTAATCCTTTTTGTCTCATTTTCCTCATCTGTAAAATTTGCTGGAGAAGGAAGTAGCAAACCACTTCAGTACCTTTGCAAAGATTGGGGTTCACAAAGAATTGGACATGACTGGAAACAACTACAGAACAACAAAATAAAAACAAAATTATTTCAGTGGGATGGAGAGCACTCGTGAGAAAGAAATCAGGAAAGACCTTTAGGAGAGAGCACCTGAACTGTGATTCAAAGAAAATTAGAGATTCTGTGAGGCAGAGGCAAGAAGAAAGAGCCTTCCAGGAGGGGGGCACAGCCTGTGCAAAGGCATGGAGATGAGAGATGAGATGTCATGTGTGGGGAACAGGAAATAGGTCGGTCCAGCTGGTATACAGTGTATATCATGGAGAGATACATCTGAATAGTTTGGAAAGTCAAGTTAGAGCTGGATTCTGGAGGGCTTTAAAAGCCAGACAAATGACTTTGTATTTCATTTTAGCAATAAGGAGGGGCCGCAGTTTCCTTAGCAGAGGAGTGACGTGGTCAGCCCTGGCACTGTGGAAAGAACGCTGGTCGTGGAGTCAAGAGACCTGGCTTGGAGTCCTGATTCTAACACCAACTATATGGGAAACCTTGGGTGAAGTATTTCATCTCACCGGGCTTCAGTTTGCTCCTCTATAAGATGGGGATAAGAATACTTTTGTCCCCAGCACTTTATACAGTGTCTGGGACACAGTAAATACTGATTGATTGATTGGTTGGTTGGATGGGTGGATGGATGGATTACTTTTATCATCTACCACACAGAATTATTTTAAGGAAGGTATTTTATAAACCTTACAAGGTTGCATCCATATGAGTTATTATCTATCCCCTGGTTGAATTTTTGCCCATCCTTTAAGGCTCAAATCAAGAGCACCTCCTCCGTGAAGCATTCCTTGATTCCTATAGATAGTTATGACCCCAAGCGAAACACAGTATTCAGTTTTGAACCTCTCTTAATGAACTCAGCCTGTAACACTCTGTGCGTTATAGGTGCATGTGTGTTATTTCCCTACTTGGCTAGGAACTCCATGTATATTCTCAAATCTAGCTCAGTGTTTTAACCCTGTTAGGGAGCAGTTAATAAATGTTTGATGACTGCAGTGTTTTCACTAAAGGAAACTGAGGCAGGAGGAAAGGGGCCAAAATGGTCATTGAGGAGAATAGCTGGAGAAACGCCGGGCAGGTGCCTGGGGCAGGCCTCTTCCATAGCCCAAGTCAGACAGGCAGTCTCTTGGTGGACACACATGCTGAGAAAGCAGGCTCACCGGGCCATAGGAAAGCAAAGCCCTTGATGCTCACGATGACCCTGGGGGAGTCTGAAAGGCAGCCTGGCAGGGCGGGGCGGGGGAGGGGGATGCCATGAACGTGGAATCAGCAGGCCTGGGTCTGCATCTCAGAGCTGCCCCCTGTGTGGCAGAAACCAAGTCCCTTCACATCTCTGAGTCTCAGTTTACTCATCTGGAAAATAGGGACAATTATCTTCTCTTGGCCTACCATCACCTCTCAAACATACACTAGTACAGCCTGGTAAACATTTACAAAGCATCCAGGCGGCCACAGAAGAGGACCGTGCAAGGTAGGAGGTGATGGGGGCAAAGGAGAGATCCTGGCAAAGTGCTCTGGGGGTGCAAGGGTACCTTCTAGGCACGGAGGATGGCCTGATGAATGAGGAGAAGCCAACAGTCCAGTTTGGCTCAAAGGTGGATAAACGGGTCATTAATAGCAATAGCATCTTAAAGTTTGCAAAACATTTTTTGCTATCTCATTTGACCTTCACAATGACCTTTTAAGGTTATTGTTATTCCCGTTTTACAGATGAGAAAACAGAAAGGTAAGCCGTTTGCCCAAGATCACATAACTGAGGCTGGATTTGAATTCAGGTCTTCCTAACTCCAAGTAGGTCAAAACCAGACTGTGGAAGGTCCCCCAGATTCCTAGAATATAATATAGCTGTTGTACTTATGCTGTCATAGGACCGTGTACTTAGAGCTAGAAGGACCCTTAGAGACCGTTAACTCTAAATGCCTCATTTTACAGATGAGGAAATGGGCACAGAGACATCTAGTGATCTGTCCAAGGCTACCCAGCTAGTAAGTATCTGAAATAGAGGTTGAACCCAGGTCTTTCAAGTTTAATGCTCTATCTACTACAAGGTAGAGAAAAGATGGTACCCCTAAGAATGGGGAGAATCAATGGAACCAAGCGCCAGGGTTTTCTAATGGGAGAAATTTCCCTCTTCTCTCCCTTACCAAAAAAGAAAAAAAAACCACCACCAGTACCAACCACCCTGTGCCCCTGAGTAGTGGTAGCAAAGAGAAGAGCTGGATTCTTCAGACAAAAGTATACATCTGGTACTATAGCCCTACTGGAGGGAGACAGATAGAGACAGAGACAGAGACAGGGAGACAAAGAGACAGAGACAGAGAGACAAAGAGACAGAGACAGAGGGAGGGAGGGAGGGAGGGGGAGAGAGAGAGAGAGAGAGAGAGAGAGAGAGAGAGAGAGAGCAGCCCTGGGGATCCAGAGCCTTCAACTCAAGTGGGTGGAGAAAGCACCCCCCAATCCAATCTCAAACCTAGCCTCAAAGCTAGCTAAAACCCCTTCCCCCTCATGCCCAGCTACTTGACATTCAAGAGAGTTTCTCTTCTGACGTCTGAAGAGCTGAAAGGATGTCACTGATGGCTCTGATTCTAGGGCTGAAAATACCGAGGTATCGAGCTGGAGAATCAACCACCCAGGGCAGTCTTTATTAAGAAAAATCAATCCAGTCTGCACAAGGCGACCTTACTTAGCCCAGCTAAGGGAGATGATATTTGAAAACTCCAAAGATAAATTTCAAAAAGGAAAAACAGAGGAAAGGATTTAGTAAGCAAGACAGAGTCCCTGGCTGAGCCAAGTCAGGGGTTAAGCCTGTTGCCATCTTGTCTCCCAGCTGTGCCTTACCGATGGGGAAGTCTGAGCCCCTTCCCTGGTCAAACCACCCACCATTCAGTCATCCTCTCAACAACACTGACTAAGGCCCCACAACAGCAAGCCTCTGTTCCAGGTACTGAGTGGGGAAGGGGATGAGGGTGAGAAAGACTCATTCCCTCCAAAGAGAAATAATACTGCATTTCCTCGCCTTCTTGACAGAGGCTATAGTTATGGGACCAGAGTTAGGGAATACTTCATACAATTTGAGATTTGTTTAATGCATTGGTTAATTTTTATTTTTGCTTATAAGGGATGGCTCTCCAGGAAGAAGAAGGGAGAATGTTGGAAAATAATGATGAAGCAAAAACAAAAGATGTCAATGTTTTTAAAGACTCAATCCTTGGCCTAAAACATCCAAGGTATTAGGCAATAGGGTTCCAACAAAATCAATCAATACATATTTATTAGCAATTCAGAAGACAGGGTAGAACAGCAAAGAAGAAAGACACCCCAGTCCCCTACCAACAACACCATCATGGGTAGGAGAAAGGTAGATGAGTATGAGACAGGGAGGGTTAATTTGAAAGCCCACTGATTGGGTTGAAAGGGTAGACAAAGCTAGGTTTGGTAAGCACTATAGAGATAGATTTAAAGAGACACTCACCAAGTCAAGCCAAGATGCGAATGCTAGTAGGGAAGGTTAGCTATAGAGCACAGAGTTGAGACCCAGTAAAAAGGGAGCCATGATGAAATTATTTCTACAAGAGTGGGCCTGACTCAGTCTTTAGGTTGTTTGGGGGATGAAAAGGGCCTTTGAACAAGGTAACTTCAAAAGATTTGACAGCCACCATCTCAACTCAGGCCTTCATTTCCTCTCTCCCAGACTCCTTCAATCCATCAATCACATAGCAAGCCTTTATTAAGTGCCTACTGTATGCCAGGCACTGTGCTAGATGCTGGAGATACAAGGATAACGATGAAATAGTCCTTCCCTACCTTCAGGAAGCTTACATTCTATTGAGGGAATATGCCAAATGCCATGAGAGGAGGAGACATACACAGTGCTACTTGGGTTCTGCTACTTGGCCCCTTCCCACCAAAATATCCACAGTAACTCTCTTTGTAGTAGCAAAGAAGTAGAAACAAAGCCAATGCCCGCTGACTAGGTAAGGGCTGAACAAACAGTGATACATAGATGTGATAAACTACTACTGTATTATATGAAATGATAATTAAGAACTTGGAGAAATATAGAAAGATAATATGCACAATGACACGACAGAATAAAGGGAAGGAAACTGAACTCTAATTAGTTGTAATGACCAAGATTGTCTTTGGAAAAGAGAGGGGAAAGTGTATCTCCCTTCCTTCTCTTTTTTTTCTTTTTCCTTTTTTTTTTTTTGGCTAGGCAATGAGATTAAGTGACTTACCCAAGGTCACACAGCTAGTAAGTGTTATGTGTCTGAGGCCAGATTTGAACTCAGGTCCTCCTGTCCCTCCCTTCTTTATGGAGGTGAAAAAGCATGAGTATGGAATATCATCTACTCTATCAGACTCAGCTCAATTTTTTTTGAGCTGAGTTTTTTGCTTAACTATTTTTTTCCTCTTTTTTTTATATTCTTTGTCACAAGGCATGATCCTCCGGGTAAGAAAAGGGTGATGGGGAGGAAATTGTATACTTAAAAATGAAAGTGATATAAAAACAAAACTGAAACTAAAAATTTTGTCCAAAAGGAGCATGAATTTGGCAACGTATGCAGACTGGGTTGGAAGAGGGAACACTGGAGCAGAGATGCTGGCTCCTTCTCTTGACTGGACCAGCCCTCATCTTTCCTCTTGCTGGCTCCAGGCAGCTCAGAAGTGCTTTGCCTGGTGGGGTCATTGACCAGGGGACCCTGAAAGGAAGGAGCCCCAGAGCTTATGGTGAACACGTCTCTGAGAGGCAAGAAATCAAACCCCGCCCCAAGAGCAAGCTACCCCAGGGGCCTCACTCCCCAGACGCAGCTAGCTGGGAGGCTCTCGCACGCAGGACAGAGGGAGAAAGGACAAACCTTCTGGGCCTCAGTGAACATGGATCAGATCACTAAAATGTCCAGAATCTCAGAATGTCAGAACTAGGAAGTAACTAGATCAAGCGTCTCCTTTGAGCATTGAGGAAGCAGAACCAGGGAAGGGCTAGGGCTAATATTAGCTGATATTTACCCAGAACTTTAAGGCTTGCAAGGTATTTCTTGAACATTGTCTCATGTGATTTTCACAACAACCCTATGACGCAGGTGTTAGTATCATCCTCATTTTATAGATGAGAAAACTGAGGCTGGGGGCAAGTCAAGTTATACACCGAGGGTCACGTAGGTAGTAAATGTATGAGTCAGAATCTGAACTCAGGTCTTCGCAATTCCCCATCCACTCCCTATCCCTGGGGCCTCTGAGCTAGACCCAGACCCACTAAGTCCCAGTTTGAAAGCCCTACTGTATATAGGAAGGGATTGTTGTTGTTGTTTTCTTTCATTCTCAAAGAGGACCATGACATCAGGACTTGAAAGTGAATTGGATTTAAGCAAGGCACGGATGGGCAAAGTGGCCAGCCTTACTTTCTCTTTCTGAGCCATCTGGGTCCAGTAATAAGATATAGATCAGGACCCTGGAGATGGCCCTGGATGCAGTGGGAGACCTTGGCCTTTTTAAGCTAAGGTCTTTCCTAGGTCTCAGTTTGTCCGAAGCAAAGCCCATTCAGTGATTAAGATTAGGTGAGAAATAAGGCAGAGAATGGCCTTCTTCACCTAGTCAAAAAAAAATCAATCAGGGAGGGGTGCATAGGATTAGAAGGAACTTTAAAGGCCATCCAGGCAAACCCTTGAGTTTTCCAGGTGAGGGATGCTGGGTAGCGGACTGGCCCAAGGTGCAGCTTCTGAGCAGCAGGGGAGGCTGGGAACTCACCAGGCATGCTACGAGCACCGAGTCACTATTATTCCTCTCAGCTGGGACCCAGCAAAGCTCCGTGAGACGAGGCATGCCTGCAATCACAAGACACCTGTGAAGCCCAAAACCCGTTCTCCCACTGACGTCTCAAGCTCCTCCAGAAGGAGCCGGGCCTTCCGTGAGCTGACCTGGTGAATGAGCAGTGGTCAGCCTCACGTCCTGAGCTGCAAGTGTCCCCCGTGCCCTCCCCCAGAACCTCCAACCAGGTGCATATACAATCACGGACCCATACAGTGTCAAAGATGGAAGGAGGTACCTTAAAAACCATCTAATTTTATACTATGTTATGGAAACGCTTGTTTTATTCCACAAATTAAAAAGAAAATAAATTTAAAATTTTTAAATAGAAGAAACTATCTAATCCATGGAGTTCTTCATGAAGGATAAACAAGTTTGTTTTTTGGTTTTTGTTTAATATTTTGATAACTGCATTTCCCATATAATTGATTTCTCTTGTAATCCTAGGTATTTTATTTTATGCATTGAAAAACACGATTCTGAGAAGGGGACCACAGGCTTCATGAGACGCTGCCCAAGGGGCCCCATGACCCAAAAAGGCTAAGGTCCTGGATCCGGTCCCACCCTCCTCATTTGACAGTTGACTAGACTTGGGGTCACATAAGCTAGATTCTTCTCCCACGCTTGGCCATTGACCCTCCTGGTGATTGTCATCAAGTCACTTTCTCCCCCTCATGTCCCTTTCCTCAGCTGTCAAGGGAAGGGGTTAGAACAGCTGATCTCTGAGGGCCCTTTGTCCTATGACAGATGACAAAACAAAAATTTAGAGAGGGGAAAGGAACTTTCCTACAGCCACATAACTATAAGAGACTGACTTGGGATTCAAACCCAAATCTTCCGACTAATGATGTTACTAATAATAATTATTAGTATTATTGTAGCTAACATCTATATAGCACCTACCATGTTCCCAGGCACTGTGCTACAGACTTTACAAATATTATCACATTTAATCCTCACAACAACTTTGGAAAGTAGGTACTATTATTATCCCCATTTTGCAAATGAGGAAACTGAAGCAAACAGAGGTTAAGTGACTTGCCCAGGGTCACACAGCTAGTAAGCACCTGAGCCTGGATTTGAACACAGATCTTCCTAACTCTAGACCTGGAGATTTATCCACTGCACCACCTGACTGTCCAAATGACTACTTACTTACAAAGTCAATGCTGTTTCCCCTGTATCAACTAATGAAATTACAAGAAACACATCAGAATTGTAAACTCTTAGATGGATACTTAGGGATCATCCACTCCAATCATTGCATTTTACAAATCGGGGATACTGAGGCCCAGAAAGGAGAAGAGATTCGCCCAAGGTCACACAGCAAACAAGTAACCAAGAAAGGAGCAGAACCCAGGCCTCCAGCTTGCAGCCCAGGAATTCTTCTTCCTCTCTACCACATTATCCCCTAGTCCTTGAGTACACAAGGACATATTTTCCCGTAAACGTACAGTGCTCTGTACATAGTAAATGGCTGTTGGATGGATGAGATGGACGAATGTTGAACAATCGACAATTTGTCACTGAGTCTTTCAATTCACGGGGATGCCACTCCCTCCACTTGAAAGAGAAGTCATACCCAAGTAAGAGTTTCATGAAAGTCCAAATCCTGTACGTGAGATGGTTCACCATTTCCTGATTAAACTTGCAGCAGGAGGGGTGGAGGTTATTCTGAGAAAGGACTTTCTAACACAAACACATCAACATCCATTAACCTAAGCTATTTATGGAAAATCGGGAGTTTGAGGAGGAGAGTTCAGGGAAGGAGAGGTGCTCTGATTTACTGTGATTCTGCCTATAAACACCTCAGAGCTTTACTCAGGCTGGAAAAGAATCCTCTTTGGAAGGGAAAGATTCCTAACACATAACCCCAAGGACTGAGCCTCAAGTCAATCCTTATAGAATGTGGAAATTTTGGGGGATACAATAGAGATGGTTAATGTGGTGGCTAGGTAGTGCAGTGGATAGAGTCACAGGCCTGGAGTCAGGAAGACTCATCTTCCTGAGTTCACATCTGGCCTCAGACACTTACTAGCTGTGTGACCCCAAGCAAGTCACTTTTCCTTGTTTGCCTCAGTTTCTTCATCTGTCAAATGAGCTGTAGAAGGAAAAGGCAACACACTCCAGGTTCTTTGCCAAGACGACCCCAAATGGGGTCATGGATAGTCAGACACTACTGAAAAATGACTGAACAACAAAGCATGATATAGTGTGAAAAGCTTGGGGTTGGACATCCAGAGATCTGGGTCCTGATACCAAACTTGTCGCTAGCTCATTATGTGACTTTAGACTCTCTTTGGGCCATAGTAGCACCATCTATAAAATGAGAAGGCTAGTTCTACGTTCCTTCCAGTTCTAAGATTCTAGGATCCTGTAATCCTCAGTCCCTGCCACTAGGGCTAGTCCAGGACCAGACCCCTAAGTGGACAAAATGCGTGACTGTGAGGCCATAAGCATCCCCTGTCCCAGCCTTGAAAGGAAAAACACGAAAATCTTCCCTCTCTACAGCCTCAGACTTTTAGAACTTATCCACTTTGAACCACCCACCCAACCGACTGACAGACTTGTAGCTTACAAACCCCTCAACTTACACCCAAGCCGTATGGCTTCTCGGGCCACCTCTGGGTCCCGGCTGAGGCGAGTAAGCGTCACGGCGGCTTTCTGCTGGACTCTCTCGCAGGCAGCCACCTCAGCTGGGCTCCCGGACAGCGGCTTCTCAGACAGCATCCCCATGAGGAGCTGCAGCCCTAGGGGGGAAGCAGGGACAGAGTTGAGACAGAGCCCAGGAGCCAACCCTTTTGCACAGGATGAGGTCAAGTGGAACCACCATTCATTCCTTTTTCACTCAGAAACCAGCTGGTTGCATCTGGTCACATCTCTTGACAAGAGCTATGGGTGGGGAGAACCAGGCTCCTTTCTAGGAAAAACAACACGTCTTCCTCTTAGGTGCAATAGTAAAAGCCCTGCCTTGAATAAGAGCATTTACTGCCTGGGCATAATCTCCCCAGGCCTCAGTTTCCTATTGTGTAAAATAAATGGGTTGAACAAGATGGATTCCAAGGTCCTTTCCAAAGCTGTGATCCCTATTTTCCCTCTTCCACTCAACCTTTGCCTCCATGGTTCCCTCAACCAAAAGAACAAATCTTCAACATCCTTTTAGGCTCAGGTCAAATGTCACCTCCTCCATGAAGCATCCCAAGATCTCCCAGGCATGTCTATGCCTGACTTTCTCTGACTTCCTACAACACTGTAGAACCATAAGATTTAGAAATGTCAAGGCTCTTAGGTACAATTTAGCCCGCCTCCCTCTTCCCATTTTACAGATGAGGAAATTAAGTCTAGAGAGAGAAAGGAGCTCCGCTAAGGTCATACGGGGCTGGCCGCAGGAGAGCTGGGGCCAGAGCTCCCGCCTCCCAGGTCATTTTCCCTCAGGCTGCTCCTCCTGTCCCTTACCAGCCTGCGTTATCACCCATCTATTTCAGGTGTGTGAGTCATACCTTCCTAATGAGATTACTAAAGCTCTTTGAGGGTAGAAAGCGGGTCTCCTGCTCCTTTTCCACCTCCCACAGCGCGAGGCCAGCCCAGAGCATTTTCTGTGTGAGAGCTGCCTGATTCAATTAAGTAAGCTTTATTGAGTGCCGCTCACGTCTTGTTCTCCTTTTAGAGAGCACAGGCTAGTGGAGAGATCCCTAGGCTAGGAACGAGGGAGCCCTGACACCAACTGGGATAATCTCTGGGCAGACACAGGCCCTGGGCTAGGAGGTAGGCTTCCAATCCTGCTCAGACACTAACTAACTCCTGGGCCTGGTTGCAGAGGCAACACCCACAAATTGCCAGTTATGCCCAGATGCAGAGGTCATAACCCCGCTGGGGTTCTTCTGCTCCCCATACCTTCAGGGTAGTGTTGCCCCCAATTCTAAGAAACTACAGGAGGAGCTCTCACGTGCCAAGAGCCCAGAGACCTACTCAGGCTATGGTGATGTTATGACTGACAGTCAAGGCTAAAGTCTCTTGGCTGGGGAAAAAAAACTTCCTAACTGATCTAAAATAGAATGGGGTTGACTTTGTAGAGAGTGATCTCCCTGTCACTGGAGGTATTCCAGCAGGAGCTAAACACGTTCAAGCAGAGGGATACTTCTACACACATACACACACACACACACACACACACACACACACACACACACACACAC